GGGCGAGCGCCTGTGAGCCGGCGGGTAGGCAGTGCCGCGACGCGCCCGTGCAAGATGTTGCCTACCCGCCGGGCTGCCGAGCTCCACATGACTTGAAAGGCTCTAGACCACATGACTTGAAAGGCTCTAGACCACAGGGGGCGGTCAAAGTCCGGGAAGCGTTTTGAGCTCCAGAGTCGCTAAACAGGACTCGAACCGAACGTGTGACCCCACCAATGGATTGCTCTTCGAACGAGGAATCCATTGGTGGGGTCACACGGTCGGTTTGAGTCACATTTAGCGACTCTGGTCTGGAGCTCGAAACGCGTCCGGGGTTTTGACCGCCGGCGTCGGTCTTCTTGCCCACTGTGCGGTCCACCTGGCCAGTGGCCACCCCGACCGAGCCGACTGAAGCGACTTCCGATTGCAGTGCGATGGCCCCGTCTTCTTATTGGCCCCGGCAGGACGAGGGTGGGGGTGGAGAAGATGGAGACGCAGCGGAGGGGGGGGGGGGAGGGGGGCAACAATGGAACGCCGCGAGATGAGAGCTGCGCTGGCACCAGTCATTCTTTACAGTGAAGAATTACTTTCGACCTCTACACCGCAAGCGCGCAGCGCAGCAGCCAGGAGCAGGTCGGGACGGCTTATTGCTTCCAAGCAACCACCAAGGGCACTGCAGGGCAGCCAACCACAGGGCGGCCAAGGCAGCCAACTTAAGAAAAAAAAAATAAAACGTCATTGAAGCAGTTCGTCCGGTTGTCGCGCCTGCGCTGGGCACACTGGGCCAGGACGACAAACGCACATCCTGGCAGTGTGTATACCCCGCCGTGTCCGCCCCCACGGAAAAAATAATTAGCTGCACAGGTAAAAGTTAGCTGTACAGCTAAAAACATTCGCTTTCTGAGAGATAAGTAATTCCTTCGCTGTACAGCTAAATTTATTAGCTGGACCGAATTAGCTGTGCAGCTAAGCCATGTTAGCACTAGAGATTCACAAAATTTATCTGCTCGGGTCAACTGACCCGATCAACCGACATCTAAGCCTTATGACTAATGTTGTTATTGTTCGATGGATATCTGCCGGACTCGAACCCGAGTCTGCCGATTGAGAGGCGCGCACGTTACCTCTACGCCATCACGCCATCTCCTCGACGTCGGGTCTTCTACCTTGAGACTATCCTCGCCGCTTAGCCACCTCGGTAGATAACGAAATTTAGCAGGATGGCTAAGTCTACTCGGCTAAACTGCAAACTGCTTTGCTAAAATGCTTTGCAGAGCAGCTAAATAAAATTAGCGGGACCGCTAAATATTAGCTGCAACGATAAAACTTTTAGCGGTGCAGCTAAATCTGTCTAGCTAGTGAATATTAGCTAGGTTAGCTAAGTAATTTTTTTCCGTGCCGCAACTCCCCACGAGAGCACAAAGTCACCTGCAAAATCCAACCCTAGTCTCTCTCTCTCTCTCTCTCTCT